ACCAACTGGACGGGACAAGAGCATTTACTGACGTGAGCGGGATCAGGTTCCGAGGGCCACATGATCCCTATGGCCCCGAACTCCCCTTAGACTGGCGTTTCTAAAGGGGAGTTTCTCACACTGCCAGTGAAGAGCAGAGACAGTTGACTCTGCTCCGTGTTGGTGGTATTATGTTGTTTCTTTTTAATTGGATTTTGCTGTCTCTTATTAAATGTATTCTCAAGGGCCTTTGACTCTGCTGCAAGTCTTCATAGATTTGTTTCTCTTTAGTGAAATTATTTTTTTGCTTTTTGTTTGTATTATAAGAGAGTTACACTCTGTTGCAACTCACAACGGTCCTCACGTAATATAGATTATGTCTCTGTTTCTGTCTATTCTTCTTCCTCCGGCTGTTTGTGTCTCCCTTTCTGTCTCTGTTTCTTTTTCTGTATCTGCCCGTGTCTCTGTTTCTTTTCGTGTCGATGACTCAAATAAGGGGACAGACGAAGGAACAGATAAGGAGACAGACAAAAAGACAGATGAGGGCGCAAAAGGAGACAGAAGGGGAGATAGGAAAACGCAGAGAGATAAAGAAAAGGAGAGATAAGGAGGCAGGAAGAGGGAGACGAGGAGACAGATGAAAAAAGCAGACACAGAGACAGCTAAGGAGACAGAAAATGACTGACACGGAGACAGATAAGAGACAGACAAACCGAGGAGGGCCTATAGAATATTGGAAGAGGAAGGCAGCACAAACCAAGCAACAGATGAGTGAAAGGAGACAGGATAGGACACACAAAAGCAAGAAGGAGACAGCTGAGGGGATAAGACAAGAAGAGGAGACAGCGCAGGAGACAGTGGCAGCTCAAGCAAAGGAGTGAGGGGTGAACCTTCCTCTGTCTCCTCAACGGGCTGGCTGTCCCCCTGTGCCCCCCTGTGTCTCCGTTTCTCTCTTTGTCTCCTTCTATCCCCTCTCCTCCTGTCTCCTTGACTATCTCTCTACCTTTCTATCAACCTCTCTCTACCTGTCTCCTTTTGTCTGTCTCCCCGTATTCTTGTGTGTCTCCGTTTGTCTCCCTCTGTCTCCTCATCAACACACAGCCACAACAAGCCCACCCAGCTGCCGTTTCTCCCTAAGGCCCCAAGCTGTCTCCTCTGTCTCCTCTGTCTCCTTTGTCTCCTCAGCAGCACCACTTGAACTGCGCAGCAGTTTAAACATATATATTATATATATATATATATAGCTGCATGAAACCCAAGCAAGTGCTGTATATGGAGCCTCTATACCGAAGGAC